TAATTCATGGACTATCGTCTCTATGTAGCAGTTACTGAGAGAAGTCCTTAGGAGTAACAATCTAAAGTATTTGTCAGGTGGGAAATTTCAAGAAGAAAAAGCCTGGGAGTGTTGCTCTAGAGAGATTCCCCTACGTGGTAAACAAACATCATAGAAAATCTAACTTTCTACTTCTTTACCTAGCAAAAGGGTAATCACTAAGCACCCCTCCTGGCCTACTCAAACTTACATGAATGCAGTGAATAAACTGGAAAACACTGTGTCTTTTTTTTTTTTTGAAGAATGCTATGTAAATATGAGATTTCATTCTCTTCCGTATGACAAAGGGCAACCAATGCTGGTAACTGTACAGAACTTTATAAGCAATTTTGTTTAAAAGTCAACTTTGTGTTTAAGATGAGGTTAACTTTCTCTGAATTTAACATCCCAGAACTTGATGGAATGCTGATATGGGAAGTCGGAGGTAGAATAATTTCTTTAATATCTTTCTTTGTTTTCAAATGATTAATTTTTATGTAGTTTAAGCAGATTAGCCCAGCCGGACACTTACAGCACGCACCCTCATATGCATATTAGGTACTGCTTGTGATCACGCTACCGAGGTCTGAACGGAACCTACCTGGGAAGGGTCTCAGAGCTCTCTCTCAGGTTCTGAGAGAAGGTGGCCAACATTACAGTACACAGAGAGAGACAGAGATCAAGACAGAGACAGAGGCAGCATAAGACAAAATACTTTATGAAATTGCCAAGTCCTCAAGCCATCTAGTTAACTCCCTCAGCAACTGTTGAACCAGGCTTTAACCTCAAGGTAAAAAAAACCCAGCTATTCATTTTGCAATCCCCTCATGTCATCTAGTCTTAAGGGAGAGATGCTGGGGTTGATCTAATCGGCTACTTTACAGATTTTTTTTTTTTTAAAGAAATTATTTAGGAGCATGCCATAGGTGTAATGAGAAAAATGCCCTGAGAAGTGGAAAGAAGAGTCTGTATTTCAATGTCAAAAACATGAAAGGAGTGGAATAAAAGAAAATCGGGGACAGGCAGCACTTGAGGAAGCTGCAGACAAAGAGAAAATGGTGGAGGTGGGGGGTGGGGAGAGATTTTCTTTTCCTTCTCTGACCAAGCTCACAAAACTTGATTTTTTTGTTTGCTTTTTTTTTATATTTCAGAGTTGTGATTTCAGGTTTGGCTATAAAATAAGCCCTTGCTTTGCCACACCCAGTCCACATTCTGCTCCCTGCTTATGCAAGGTTCTGAATGAAACTGGTGATCTTGATATCACCATTAAAAATAATCATAATAAAATTGTCCACATTTCTAACCCCAATTCACATAATCCCTCCAAGTGGCTTGCACATGTACAAGCCACAGTGCATGTACGCGAAAGGAGACCAAAGAATTTTTTGTTTTAAATGCATATATGTACACCAGATGAAAAATTACTATTGGAATGAAAAACACTTAACAAAGAAAATTAAACGTACCAGCAAATCTAATATATTATTTCAAAGTTTACAGCTCAAAGAATGGAAGCCTGATGAGATAAAATTAGCACAGGCAAGAAAGCACCCCAAAACGACCCTGCAATTGGAAGCCTGCAAACTTCTTCGAAAATATCTCTCACCAGTGTTAATCTTTGGCTGACTTGAGCTGTGGACAAGAAAGAGGGCTACATCCTGTGTATACTTCCAGATGGGGTGCCACCCAGTGTGGCTATTTGGTCCTCAGGTGTTGATTGTTGGGATCCAGACAGAACTCACCACCTGTTTGCTGAACACAAGGAAAAGATGCTTCTTGCCAAAATATTGGTTCTTGAAGCCTATGGGGAGAAATAGTCTGTCTTGGTTTCAAAGGAAAATTCTGCTTTACAAGACAAACTGTCCCTTGTAAGATAGTCATAAAAATGCTTGATAACTGAGAGGAGAGAGGAGAAGGAAAGAGGAATTAATAAAATGCCTTATTTTGAAAAATCTAATAGAAAAAGGGAACAAGACTTGTCGATATCAAAGCACTGCTAAAGTACTACCTACTATGGAGACCAGAACAAATTACCGAGAGAAAAATTAAAATGTTCTTTTTGCATCTGGATAATTTCTCTAAACCCCAAACTCTAATTCTGGCATGCAGACTCTCTTAGAATCCAACTCCCAAGAATAAATTTTTGTCATATTATTGTGCTGCCTGCTGGAATATAAGGAGCCCTACTTCTGCCAAGGGAGCCAGTGGTCAATTAACAAAGTTGTAGTCCTGTTTGATCTCAGAGAGAAGACAGACAACTCCATAAAATATCATCAGGGTTGCACACAAGTCCCATCACTTTTTATTTTTCCTTCTGTTTAAACCACATGCTAAATTAAGTGAAAGAGACCACCTTTGCATCTCCCATCCTCTCAGCAGAAACATTGTAAATGTGTAAGAACACAGAGTGAGTGCAGATGTTACTAAGGTTTAAAAAAAAATCCCTTCACAAAATTAACTAATGTGCATAAACACACACATGGATGGAAAAGGGAGGAACCCAACAGGTCACTGGAAGCCTGCACAATTTTGAGATTTTTAGCTCAAAAATGGCACATAATGCATGCAATACAGAAAGGGAAGACACTCTTGATTTGGCTTAAGAAATCTCTTGCCTTTCATCAAATTGCACCCCTACAAAGTGAGGGGGAAAAAAGAGAAAGTAATAAAATATCAACTTTTGGATTGGAATTGATTGCATTCTGATTAAATTGATTAATTTTCAATAAACTGACTTAAGGATTTTCTCTATCCTAGAAATGGAAAGTCTTCGTCAACTTACGAGACAGGAACACCAGTTTTCCTTTTAACTAGACTCCTCATAATCAGTGCAGCAATCACAAACCAGAATAAAAAAATCTTGTACTTTCTGCAGGAGCTGCTAAATTCTCATTAGTTTATGTCATTAATTTAAGCAGACTGTCAAGGAGGCACCAAGATATGATAATCTTCCTCATAAAGAAGCTTTTTTCATTAAGACCTGAAATAAAATCACCAAGCTCATTGTCTACCTGATGGGAGTAACTTTTGCTCTCTATAGTTATTCCCTAAAAATTTTGGTTTTGCCTTTGAAGGCACACATTTTTTAACAAATATGTGGAACCATCAGTTTTTTCCCTGCTAAGTAAGTAAGTTGTGGGGGAGGCATGCAGAAGATGGAAGGTTCCAGAGTCTGGGTTTAGTATCATGGCAGGTCAAAATGCACCTTAGACATTTTCCCCCAAGAAAAGTTTACAGTAGAAGAAGGGCTGCACCGTCTAGTGACAGGCTTAGAAAAAAAAATTAACCTTGCCAAGAAAATTTATTCTTATAAAATGAAGAATACTTTTTTTGTCCCATAGGATAAACCCATTACAAAAATAAAGAGTCTAAATTAACTGGAAAATACTTTGACGATATCAAATGAACCCTTTCAAAATCTTGTAAGCCAAACATTAAAAACCTAATGGAATGTAAAGCCTGGTAAGAAGCTGTTTCTTCAACAGCCCACAAAATAATATGAAATCCTACCCTCCTCTTTCTTTCTTCCCTAATAGCGTGCTATCTCTACCTTGTAACAAGGAAAGCATCAGTGAAAGAAGGCAAATTGCTGGATTTAAGTCCCCAAACGAAGATGTTAAGGCTAACAAAGAAATTTTGGAGAAGTCACAGATAAAAGAAAACAGCCATAGAAACAAAGAATAAGACATAAGTCCACAGGGACATCAGCACCTGGTCTACCTGAGGAGTGAATTCCCCAATTCAGTATGTCCTCCCTCACTAGATAAACTAATATCTTAATTTTCTGAAAATCTTCAACATGGTCTCCAAGAAGCTCAACAATTGCGGTGAGGAATAATTTTTAATAAGCACGATGCAATTGCCTGCCACTTTTCTCATATGCTAATTAAAACTCTGGGGTAAGATTATGGCTCATAGGTCACTAAGAGTTCTTACTCAATTTGTTAGAGCTAACAGCATGTATTCTAAAATGCCAACATGTCCTAAAAATGAAGGAATATAATAAAAAAAAAACCTCACTCTTCCCTCCCCAGTGGAGATTTTGGGGCACACTGAAATAGCAGGAAATGTTTCACAAAAATATGTTTTCCAACACTTTTGTAAGTCAGACTCAAGCCTAATTAAATTGTACATTAAAAGAATATTCTCCTCTTTATATATCTGATGCAAACCTGAAGTAGGGGGTTGTGGATCTGTTAAAATCCACAGAGAAAATAAACACTTTATAAGAGAAAACCCACCCAAGCAACTACTTTCAACATAGTCAACCAACGTTGAGAAACTGTGAATGCAAATCCTGTGGAGTCTTTACCAAGAAAGTTGCCCCTCTGCCTACTCTAAACATGACGGTTCAGATTATCTCTACTGACCTCCAGCCCTGGAGCAAGTCCCCGGTTGCTTCCCGGGAAAGAAGTTCACTCCTTCACATAGCAGACCTCAGCACCCAGAGACCACTTTCTTTCCCTAACCGAGAATTTCATTTTACCTCTTTGGAGGAGACCCGCTGAGAAGCTCTTGGGCCAGTCTTTTTTACTCTAATCTGCACAGGCTGAAAGGGAAGTCCTAATAGACCCGAAGGGAAGAAATTGCCCAAATTTCTGATTGAGGTTCTCAGACTTTGAGGACAGGAGGAAAGGAAGAGTGGAGGGCTTAGGAGCTTTGTCTCTGAAGGTGGCCCGTGCAATAGGATTTAAGTTTGGGATTCGAGTACCAGGAGGTAACGAGAATTTGGGGCCGTTGGGGGAGTTGAAGAATCTGGGAGGGCAGGAATCAGCACCCAGGACACGCAGCAGAAATTAGGAGAGCTCAGGTTAAACCTCTGGCAGGCCGGGAGTCCACGGGAGAGCTCCAGGTTTACCCTGCTGAGCTCTCCCAGGGGCAGTCTGAGTGTTCGCGCAGGTAGGAGCCACTAGACACCCCAGAATGCAGAGCGACTCTGTGCCCTGGGCTGAAAGGCGACATTTCTGGAAGGAGAAACTTACCGCATGTCCCCGTAAGGTCCGGAGTAGCTATCCATCCAGGGGCCCATCTCGCTTTTGACACAAGTGGGGCTGGGATAGGGCACTCTGCTCACCATGCCGCCAGGGTACCACACATCAGGTGCGGTGAAGTCGCCTTCCTGGCCCGCCAGCCCCTGAGGTGGCCGAGTGTAGCCGTAGGGGGCTACAGCTCCCGCCTCTCCTGCGCCGCCGCCGCCGCCGCCGCCACCGCCGCCGCCCCCACCACCACACGGTCCATACAACTGGCCTTCTTCGGCTGTGAAGAGAGTGTGCCAGGATGAGGAAGCGGCCGCTGAGGGTGACCCAGAGCCGGGTCCCGCTGCACCCGCGCCATGCAGGCTCGCCAGGTCCCCATAGCGGCACTGCGCCGCCGCAGCCGCCCAGGCACTGCCATAGTCCAGCGGGTTCTCCAGCTTGATGCGAGCGTGGGGATGGGGAGGCGGTGGAGGGGGCGGCGGCCCGGCCAGAGCCAGTGGAAAGTTGTAGTAGTCGCGACTCTGGTACGCAGCTGCCTCGTCCAGTGCTCCGGACTTGTAGAGAGACAGGGTGGACGGCAGTTCAAGTGTCCCGGAGCTCCCTGCTGCAGCGCTGCCAGAGCAGCCTAGGCTCTCGCCTTCTAGCCCTTTGGTGTAACCTCCCTTGAAAGGGGAATACTCAACAGTATCTTCAGTGCTCTTGCCTGCGCTGTCGTCTAGCAGAGAACCTTTGCATTCGGCCAATGGGGCACACGGAATGGGACGCACACCGGGTGGAACTCCCAAAACTGGGGCGTACATGCAATCCCCCCGAAGCTGTTCCCCTGGACTCAGATGCTCCAACGCCTCCACACCCAAGCCCATGGACACCGACACTGCCTTACACAGCTCCTTGGCGCTGTCAGAAATGGTCGAAGTGCCCCCTAAGTAATTGTCCTTGGAGGAAGTGGGAGCCCCCGAGGCCTCCCTCGCTCTCCCGTTGCTGCTGCCTTCGGATACTGCTTCCTGCTGCTGTTGCTGAAGGAGTTGCATGGTGCTGGCCTCGCTCAGGATGTCTTTAAGGTCGGCGGAGCAGCTGCTTAAGCCGGGGAAAGTGGGGCCCAGTAGAGACAACGTGGATGGGGCAGCTGAGTCATCCTCGTCCGGAGGTGCTGGCAGCTGCTGCGGCAGCCCCTTGCCGGCGGCCACGGCGGCTCCAGGCTCTGGGACGCAACCTCTCTCGGGGTGGCACTCCGGGGCTGACTGAGGCTGTGAAGGCTGCTGTTCCTCATCCAGGACCAGGTAGCCTGTGGGGCCTCTACGATGGGCTTGGGGAGAACCATCCTCACCCTGCTTCTGCTGCTGCCGGGGGCTAGTTTCTTGCTGCTGCTGCTGCTGCTGTTGCTGCTGCTGCTGCTGCTGCAAACTGGCGCCGGGAGGTGCTGCGCTCGCGGCCTCTGGGTGCCTGGGGCCCGGGTTCTGGATCACTTCGCGCACGCTCTGGAACAGATTCTGGAAAGCTCCTCGGTAGGTCTTGGACGGCGGCCGAGGGTAGACCCTCCCCAGCCCTAACTGCACCTCCATCCTTGAGCTTGGCTGAATCTTCCACCTACTTCCCTTACCCCGCCTCCCCTTCTCTTGCTCAGAAGAGTTCAACAGGCTGTGATGATGCGGTAGTCGCTGCAGCTAGCTGCCCACCTGCGGGAAGCTCCAGAGAAGGAAACTTGCGGGAGCAACCACGCAAAAAGCGCTCTGACAGCCTCAAAGTCTCCTGCAGAAGAAGACACACGGTGGACAAGATCTGCCCTGCTAGGCTCACAGTCTGTCTCTTAATACTTGAAGGGTCGATTCAAAAGATGCCCGAATCTTAAAAGAAAAAACAAAATCCTCCACCTTCCAAATTCAGTGTCCACTGAAGTAGGTGCAAATAAGAACTGAGTTATTATCTTTTTCTTTTATTTCGTTTTTTTGTTTTGTTTTGTTTTTGTTTGTTTTATTTTTTGGCTACTGAAGCCCTGACTGTCTTTTCATCTTTTGATCTCTGGCTCCGCACTCGGGGTGGGGAAAGCAGGAGGAAGTAGAGAGAGAGTGGGGGGAAACGGAGGGTTCTCTCCGCGTGCAGCCTAACCAGGCAGGTCGTGGCTGCAGTGCTGAAGCCGCTCCCCAGTCGCCTGGCTCCTAAGAGCCTTCTTTGCAATGTGCAGCTAGCTCGCCCGCTCGCAGCCAAAGGGAGTTACCTCTCTGCAAACTCGGGCTGGCAGCGCTGGGCCGACGGGGGAGGGAGGGTGGGGAGAGGGGCAGTGAGGGGGGTTGGCTGAGAGTAGCCGACTGAGGCAGCTGCGGGAGAGAAGACGCGGGGCGGGGGGGGGGGGGAAGCAGGGTGGGGGGAGGCGGGGTGGAGAGGAGGAGGACAAAGGCAGCCGTCAGTCCTACCAGGCACTTTCCTTGCTTCCTCCGAGTCTTTAGCAGCTTTTAAAAACTTCACCGAAGAGGAAAGGGCAGCTCCGGGGCGGCGGCTTCGAAGTCGCCGCGCTGCAAAAGGCGTTGGCTGTCGCTGGAGCCGAGCTGGGGCTGGCGTGGTGCGTCCCTTCGGCTCCTGTACAGCACTGGAGCGGCTAGCTCGGCCGTTTTTCCCTCTGTCGCCTCCTCTGCCTCTGGGCTTGCTCCGGACCGTCCCGCTCTCCCAGCAAGCTGGCTCCCCGGGATCTCGGAGGGGGCGCTGGGAGGTGGAGAGCAAATGCAACAGTTTGCGAGTCGGGTCCCGCCCCCGCCGGGCCGGCCTCCTTGCCTTCCCACCTCCTTTTCCCTCCCCTCCCCTTTCTTTTTCTCCCCTCCCCTCATCGCGCGCTAACGCCTGCCTAGTGGCTTTGGAGAAACAAGTGCTGGCGCAGCGTGGGCGAGGGCAGGAGAGGCTAGCTGTAGCCCTGGAGGACCCCTGCTTCCTGAATAGCTCCTGCTTTGCTAAACCAAGCTTTAAGCGCCAGAGATCCAGATTTTCTGGAGGCCAGCACTCACCAAATTTGGTTCCAAAGCCCAATCTAAAAAACCAACGGGGTGGAGAGGAGGAGGGAGGAAAAGGACGATAGGAGTACCTACTCCTAATGGCTGCCAGGGGTTCTTTTCAGGACTGAAAAGAGCGTGCAGACGGGAGAGTCTCCTACAAACTGAGGAGCAAGCCATGACCAAGCCAGCAGATACTAGCTGAAACCTTAGATTCCGTCATAGGGATAGATCGGGCCTCGTGGCATTGTGCCATTTGCTCTAGGAACCCTCAGCCCCAAGAATCAGAGGTCATTTCTACCCTCTTCTCTGCCTTTCTTCCTGTCTGGAATTGCCTTTAACCATGCATTTCTCATCCAGACTTGCAAAGGCAAAACCACCCAGACAAGCAGGTAAACACGCAAACACTAAAAACACTTGCCATGTACACATAGGCCCTCAATTTTGTGCAGAGCTTTGCAAAGGTTTGTGTTGTATGCAGCCGCTTGCTTTTCCAAGTTGCCTTTGCATATTTTAAACTTTCCAACCGGAACTATCCAAGGATAGAACCTATATAGGGCTGCTTTTCGCCTCTTGTTGGACAGCCAGGCGTGGAGGATGATGTGGGTTATTGCAACTGCTCTTTTGTGGAGGAGGTCCCATAAGCCCTGTGTAAAGGTGGAGAGGCAGGTGGGAATGGAAAGAGAGAGAAAATGTAAAAGTAAACCTATAACGAAAACAGCTTTCCTTTATGTCAGTAGAGACCCTGGGCCTTCCTATGTTTTAAATTCCTTTGACTTCTGATTCTGGGGAGGCTGTGTGTTCCAAAAGTCATTCCGAGATTTTTGCCTGGGTCTCTTTCGCTTTTTGCAGTCTTCTACAGAGAAAAGACGGGTTGTAGCTTTGTTGTAGCTTTATCTTGTGCACAGCAAAACATCATAGGCATTTGCTTACCTTGACCAAAGAAGGTAACTCAAACCCAAAGGCAAGGAAGACTGGATATGATAGGCTCTACTTCACAGATGAACAGGCTGAAACAAGGACATAATTTTGTTCTATGTTCCACGTTAGTAAAACCTAAACTAGTCTTCCAGCCCATTGCCATTTGAGCTAGACTCTAGACTCATCAGTCTCAGTGTTATTTGGGAAATGGCTATAAATGAATCTTCCAGAACACAAAGGCCTGAAGACCCTTTCACCTGAGGAGGTGAAAAATTGTTCCCTGAGATTTTAATGGCTACAGCCTTCCTTGAATATACCCCAACCATATGTAAGTAGAATGCATAGATACTTCAACCTTATTTGAATATTCATTGCAACATTTAATCCCACCACAACTTTCAACTAGCATTGCTCAATAGGAATTGAGTGGGCTGGCAGGATGGTAGAATGGAATTAACATAGGTCTCAGAGTCAGGAGAACTATTTGTCTACATATTAACAGTGAAGGAAGGTGCAAAAATCACTGAATGAACAACGAACAGGAGTGAGGAGGACATACAGACACTAAGAGACCTGAAAAAAATTAAGGTGAGAAATAATGCTCTGAAGTTACTCTGAATAAAAAGCAGTCTGACATTCAAATCCAGGTCTGAAAGACTCCGAAGTTTATGTTGTTTCCACATCACCAACATTGTCTTCACAGTTTCCACATCTGAAAAGTGTTGCCAATAAAAGCTACCTTCAGAAAGCTAGTGTATCATTTAAAAGACGTAATGTGTATAGTACAAACTTGTAAACAGGAAAGCATTCAACAAATCTGAAGGATCACTATGTTATTTTTATTTCTAAAGATGGTGCTGTCAACAATTATATCATTATCAGGAAAAGTTAACTACTATAAGCATATTAGGGCCACATACTTTATTTGGATTTTGAGCTGTGATCTTCCAGCTCAAATCTTATTTTCTTCCCATTGCTTTTAAGAACAAGAGACAATTATTGAATAATATTATATAAGTTCACCGTTTGTACCAGCTTTCTTCTTCTTTCTCCTCCTGTTCTTCTTTGCAGTTTTTTAGTAATCAAATGGAACCAGAGGTGTTCTCTCAGATTAGTCAGGTTGAGAGTAAGTTTCTGCTATAATCTTCCTCTGCAACTTCAAGAGGGATTTATTAATGAAGTCTTCCCTAGATCTTTGCTCTGGAAAGCCAGGATGAGCTGACCTTTGGAAAATGGTGACCATAGGGTTTTATTTCCTAAGTATCTCACACATCTGCCCACTTATTTCATCTCTGCTGTTGCCAACCTAGTTCACTTCCAGAAGGCACCGTTCTCTTCCACCTGGAGCACTGTAAACAGTCACCCTCCTTCCACTCTTTCCTAGAATCAGTTCTGCATTGTGCAGTCAGAGGGTTTTTTTTTTTTAATAGTTGTACTGAGGTATAATTGATATATACAATAAACTGCACATATTTAAAGTTGCATAAATTGATCATTTTTGATACACGCATGCACTCATGAAACCATCATTCAATCATGATAGTGAACATATCTATGATTCCAAAAGTTTCTATTGTGCCACTTTGTACATTTTCCCTCCACCTCTCCCATACTCCTCCTCAGGCAACCAGTGATCTACTTTCGGTCGGTATAGACTGTTTTTCACTTTCCAGAGTTTTATATCAATGAAAATGTACGGCAGGTACTCTTTTTTTTTTTTTTTTTTTTTTGACTTGCATCTTTCACTGAGTACAATGCCTTTGATATACATTTAAGCTGTTATGTATATCACTAGTTCATTCTTCTTTATTGCTAAGTAGTATTCTATTGCATTGCTGTACCACACTCTGTTCATCCACACTTTTTATGAACATTTGGGTTCTTTTCAGTTTGGGGCTACTACAAATAAAGCTGCTATAAATATTTGTATAAACGTCTTTGTATGGATGTATTCTTTCATTTCATCTTTCATTTCAGGTAAATACTTAGCCACAGAATGGGTGAGTCACAGGGTAGGTATATACCTACTTGTGTAAGAAACTTCCAAATCATCTTTCTAAGTGATTGTACCATTTTACATTTCCATCTCACCAATACTTGCTATGGTCAGTCTTTTTAATTTTAGTATTCTAATTAGAGGCGTCTTTCTCATTTAATTTTCATTTATCCCATGAATAAAGATGCAGAACATTTTTCATTGTGCTTATTTTACAATTGTATACTTTCTTTGATGAAGAGTGCAAATTTTTTCTCTCTCTCTTTTTTTTTTTTTTTAAATTGGGCTACTTGTAATTTATTATAGGGGTTTTAAGTTACGTATTCTGAACACAATTCATTATCAGAAATATGATTTAACAATATCTTATCTGTAGTTTGTCTTCATTATCATACCAGTGTCTTTTGAAGCACAAACATTTTAAATTCTGACGAAATCCAGCTCATCACTTTGTTCACTTATAGATTATGGTGTGAGATCTAATAAATCATTTTCAAACTCAAGACCACACAGATTCTCATCTGTGTTTTCTTCTAGAAGTTGTATAGCTGTCAGTTTTACATTTAGGTCTGTGATCCATTTTGAGTTAAGTTTTTTAGACAGATACTCAACTTTTTATACAGGTGTCCTATTGTTTTGGCACCATTTTTTTGAAAATACTATTCTCTCTCCACTTTGTTGCCTTTGAATCTTTGTCAATAATTAACTCTCAATATATATTTGTATAGAGGGATTTTTTAGAAAGTTTAATCTGGTCATATTATTTCCC